CACACACACACACACACATATATATATATATATATATATATATATATATATATAAACACACGCACATACATGAATATATACATACATATATATGTATGTACATATGCATTATGTGCCCTATGTATGCATTATCAAATATCAAACACAATAAAATGATGTTGTTTTAGCAGTTTGCATGAGTTCTCTGTGTTTATAGTGTGTGTATGTCTCTGTGTGAAGGGAATGTATAATGGCAGAAGTGTACCAGCCCAAAACGGCATTTCTTGCATAAGACTGAGTGCCCGTTGATCTGGAACTAAGACAGGCTGGCACAAGCCAGCTCACACTTCACTCCTGTCTCTGAAACAGCACTTCCCTTCCCTCTGCTGGTCAAAGGAAGGCATTACAAAGCCACAACACAAATAAATCACAGCGCATTTATCCTGTTTAATAACTGACATCTTTCCAGAATGATCATTCACATTAGCTTTATGACTTCCTCTGGTCTTTAATTGTATTTTCCATTCTGTTATGGTTTTTCCATTAGCAATGTGTTTGTATGCAGTGTCCTGAACGTAAAATGCCTCATTATTCTTTGTAATTGAATCCTTTGAATAATGCTATCAGTTTGTTTTTGTTGTGTGTCATTGCTTAGTCCATCTCCTTTTGCACTCACTCTGCTGTTTCATTGTTTCTGTTTTTTTGCACTCCACAATCATGCAGCACCTGTTGGACGCCAGGAGAACAAAGGTTTGTTGTCATGTTCGCCACCGCTAGCGTGTGCAGAACATGGTACCGCACGCTTGGCGTGAAATGTGTCCCTGATCTTTAAACAAAACCAGACTGTACCTTAAACCTGATCCATAGATTCTGATCTCATGGGTTTCTTTGAGTGTTGTTCTTATCTACTAGGGATGCACAATAACGGTGACCAGTTTCAGCCAATATTAGGATTTTTAGTTGTGTTAGTCTTTTTAGGCCAATATCGGAAGCAGATTTTATTTTATTTTATTTTTATTTAATTAAATTTTTATTATTTTATTTTATTTAGTATTTTTATTATTTTATTTTATTTTATTTAGTATTTTTTATTTAAGTTTACATTTTAATTTCTAGGTTTCAACCAGATTTCAATTACCATTTTCAATGGGACATGATTTTACAATGTTTTTGATGAAGAGCAGGGTTATGTTTGTATTATTCTAAACTATTATAGCATTTAGCAATATATAAATGATTGAATTAATATATGAAATAATTAAATAATTTTTGGTTTCAAAGTTTAGTTTAAGTTTTAGCAATATTATTATTTGCTTTTGTTATTTTTACTTGTTTGTTTTTTTAAGAAATATTTTAATTTAGCTTTTATTTATTTATTTTTCAGTTTTAGTTTTAGTCATTTTAGCTCTTAAACATATTTTATTTCAGTTTGTTGCCAATGTAATATTTCAAATTTTTGTTTAATTTTCTTAATCTAATATTTTAAGTTTAATTCAAAAGTTTAATTTCAATTAACTAAAATGATTTCAATAGTTTATTTTACAATACCAACGTATAGCTTAATTCATTTTTCTGTAACCTGCTTTGAAACAATATGTATTGTAAAAAGTGGTATACAAATAAATGTAAATTGAATTGACTGAATTTGAAGAAAAAAAAACAAAAAAACAGGCGAAACATAGATTTCATTGGCAAGTCAGCTAAAATTTTTATATCAGTGCATTCCTACTAGCTTGATCTGAGACCATTGCTATTTTAATGATCACTTTTAAATGGATCAGATCATTATATAAGAACAGCCTCAATAAGGAACATTTTCCCTTATCTTCTCCTCCATGTTCCTTCAAGATTAGCTAAGACGGGGTATAGCCGCATTAGCCGGGCCTTAAATAGCTGGATCTTTTACTAAAATCCTGATCAAAAGTATGCCTGTGATCCTCGACTGAACCTGTTCTTCTGTCAGAATTGTGTGTTCTGTTTGTGATAGCGCAAGGATGTGTAATGATCTAAATTTCCTGGCATGAGTGTGAATTTTCTGATCCAGTTCTGGGCCCATATACTCTCTCATTCTGCCGAAGGCGCCACATGTGCCACGTAGACCCGAAATCCCCATTATCTTGTGGCTATTTCTAGCAAAGTTCTTTGTCATTAACCTTATTTAAGGAGTTATTACGGTAGTTAGTGTTTTCTCAAGAGAAACCTTATCCTTTCCCGTTTCCTCTCCTAGTATAGACCTCACTGTGGTTTTCCCGCTGTACCCTTCATTTGGATACATTTAATAAGATATACATCCAGATATTGCTAAATTGGTCAGTTTAGCTATTAAAGATTAACCTTTTAATATTGATCTCACTCATAATTAGCAGTCAAATGGAAAATAGAAGTCATTGTGAATTATGAATGCAAAATTCATTTGTAATCTGTACTCAAACCAGGTACAACGCAGCAGTGCTATAGGCTATAAATTCTAGCCCCGCCCAAAGTGAAATTTCATTGGTCTAAATCAGTGCTGTTTTATGTATATATATAGTATAATAGTATTTATTAATATTTAAAATTAGCTTTTATTTTAAAAGTTTTCATTTTAATTTTAAAGTTGAGCAATTTTGTTATGTGCTGTTGTTATGTTTATTAGTTTTTTCTTTATTAATTATTTCAATTTTAACTAGTAATTTTAGTACTTCAACTTAATCTTATTTATTTTAGTTGACAAGGCAACATTTATAATTTTCCTTTTTTAAGTTAAAATTTTTAATCTGACATTTATATTTAATTTTATTACTTTATTTAAATGACCAAAACAGTTTTTAATAGTTTTAGTTGAAGTTTTAGTCATTTTGTTATGTGCTTTTGTTTTGTTTGTTTATTTGTTTTATTTAATTCAATTTCAGCTTAAGTTTTAGTATTTTTAGTACTTCAGCTTAAACTTATTTTATTTTATTTGTCAAGGCAACATTTTCAAATGTTCATTTTTTTAAGTTTACATTTTTAATCCAACGTTTATATTTCATCTTATAACAGAGTTATTTCATATCAAATTCTAAATAAATAAATAGTGTAGTTTTAGTTAACGACTACAACACTTTTTTTCCAACATCAATTACGTTCTGATTGGCTTTTGTAACTTTTCAGCTTTTGAACTTTACTCAAGAACAGAAAAATAGCTTGATGCTGGAAACCTGTTGCCCCACACCTGGTTAGGAGGACACAGTGCAATATGTTTATACATCACAGTGAGGTCTATATAACCTTTTTTCCAAATCTAACCTAACATTTCTGATATCAAAAGATGGCTTTCTGAATGGGTCTGGTTGAGGATACCTTCTGATTATTGTCTACATGAGGATCCCAGTGCCTGTTTTGTTCATTTCTGCTTTTGTTTCCTTCTCCAGCACCTCCAGTTGACCATCCAGGCCCTACAGGATGAGTTGAGGACTCAACGTGATCTCAACCATCTTCTCCAGCATCAGGGCGGGTCGCGGGTCAGTGTTGGTGAGCACTTCACCACCATCGAGCTAACCGAGGAGAACTTCCGTCGACTCCAAGCCGAACACGACCGTCAGGCCAAAGAGCTCTTCCTCTTGAGGAAGACACTGGAAGAGATGGAGCTGAGGATTGAGACGCAGAAACAGACGCTAGGAGCCAGAGACGAGTCCATAAAGAAGCTGTTGGAGATGCTGCAGAGTAAAGGACTTCCCCCAGCCTCAGGAAGAGCGTCAGATGAGGAAGAGCAAGAGCGAGCCAGGCGTATCGCAGAGGCTGAAGCACAGCTGGGACACCTGGAGGTGATATTAAACCAGAAGGAGAAGGAAAACATCCACCTGAGAGAGGTATCAGGTTCTACTCAAACTTTTTGGCTGAAAGTGGAGCATGCATGTCACTTAAAGATGGACTTTAGTAATGGATGTAAACTTGCAAAAGGAATGTTTGTTTTCAAACGTGAACATGCAACACATTCAAAGCAGATTTTCAGAGCAGAGAAATATAATAATTCAGAAACAGTCTCTATGGAGCAATCTGAGGTTAAGTGGTTTGCCATCGTAATAGTCAGATAGATAGTCAGATGCAACTAAGACAATAACAGCATATGGTCTCTGAGTCATCTAAACCCAAGAGAAAAACATGAGGAGATCCATGCCAACCACACAGATAATTCCCTATGAGCTCAAAGAGAATAAAATGAAACAATACAAATGTCAAAGAGTGAAAAAGATCAGAATGCAGATTGAAAATAAGATTTTTTTAGAAGTAAGACATGTTAACGGATTGACATAATTGCTCTCTGATGTTTTGGGTTGGTTTAAGGTTAGGGCTACGTAATGGATTTTAACTTCACACTATAACAGGTAAAAAGAATGAAGTTGTTATAAACAAGAACACACTTATTCTAAAGTGTATAGCTCAAGTTTGTGTTATGTGTTTGTTATTATGTTGATTATAATCTGTGTTTTTCTTTAGGAGCTTCATCGGAGAAACCAGCTTCACCCAGACCCTGGAAAAACTAAAGCTCTTCAGACTATCATAGAGATGAAGGTAAACATCTGTGAATGCTTCTTATATAATATATATACTATACACTACTGTTCATAAGTTTGAGTCCAGTAAGATTTTTTAATAATGAATTTAAGAATGCAATTAATTGATCAAATGTGACAGTAAATGCATTTACAGTCAAACCAAAAATGATTCAGACACCAGATATAATTTTTGATATTTTTTTTACTAGTGGGTGCAGGACACTATAGTTCATTTATGCAAGTGAGGATAGCAAAATAAAATGAACTGTGACATATTATACCCAAAAATTCTTCATACAGTGGACTACCAGTAAAATTGATAAAAAAATTTGGGACCAAAAATTATTCAGGCACTTTGACCTGACCATGTGTTTTTTCTTTAATTGCTAATGCGATCTTTTTACACCACAGACTGAACTAAATTAATTAAATTAAGCATTGCTTAGTAATTGGTTGACCTAAATTGGTATTATCTAATTGTGTACTCAAATTTAACAGCTGACAGCTATTCAACCTAATTCAGTAAATACATTTCTACAGTGTTCGAACTATACCGTGGACTTTGGGGGAGCCCACTTGTTTTTTTTTTTATAACGGGGGGGTGGTGATCGTGGGCTTGCGCGTGCCTCAAAAGAGGGCTTACAATGACTTACAAAAAGATACATAAC